GAAAGAGCCACCATCCGAGAGAAACAGGGAAAACCAGACAGCCACAGCTTCGTGTTCTCGGAAAGTACGTCTGGAAGGTGTCCCAGGGCCATTCCCACTACCCTTGAAGAAATCCCACACCGCCCATGCCAACCTTATCTCCGCGGTGCAGGCGGGAGCCGGGACCGGTGAGTCCCGGAGCAGCGGCACCACCAGGAAAGGAGCACGGATATCTCCTCTCCCACTCCCATTTCCACTCCTCTCTCCAGCTCCCAGCACTGCCAAGCCCCCTCCCGAGTCCCCCGGCAGCCACAGCGTCCCTGCTCCAGCCGGGGGGACACTGCCCCACTTCCAGCCTTCAAAAGTGCCACCCACCACCAGCAGGCTGCTTTTTTTCCCGTTTTCTCCCTTTTAATCAGTATCCATGTGTTTGACTCCCCCTCTCCAAGAGAATTACCAATTAAGATATCAATTTAGATAAATTGGGGGATTGGAGCAGATTTGTGCTGCAATTGCATCAACCCAGCAAATAAAGCCGGGGCGGCTGCCGGAGCCTGGAGTGTGGCTGCCCAAGGAGGGAGCCTGTGACTGAAACAGGGAGGTGGAAATATCCCGAACTCTGGGAAGGGCGGGGACACCGACACCCAGGAAAGCTCCAAGGTGGATCCAACAGGTCGGAGCCCATCGCCTCAGCCCTCCCAGGGGTTGGCTCTTCCTCCCATCCCAGGCTCAGTTCCATCTTTGGATGGATCCAATGCTGGCAAACTGCTTCAGTGGGACTGGATCTGTTACAGAAACGGACCCCAAATCCCAACATGGGGTTTCAGGGCTGAGCAGTGCATGATGCCCGAGTGATGGGCACCACCTGGAGCCATGGAAGGGCTTCCCCGTGCCTGGAGGCGCCTGGATCATCCCAAAAACTGGAACACCCCATGGTCCCAGCCCTAGATGTGGGTGACAGCCTGGCAAGGGTCTCCAGCCATCCCATCAAGAGGTTCCAACCATCCCATCGAGGGGTTCCAGCCATCCAAGTGAGGGGTTCCAGCCATCCAAGTGAGAGGTTCCAACCATCCCAGCAAGGAGTTCCAATCATCCCATTGAGAGGTTCCAACCATCCAGGTGAGGGGTTCCAGCCATCCCATCGAGGGGTTCCAACCATTCCAGTGAGGAGTTCCAGCCATCCCAGCGAGGAGTTCCAATCATCCCATTGAGAGGTTCCAACCATCCAGGTGAGGGGTTCCAGCCATCCCATCGAGGGGTTCCAACCATTCCAGTGAGGAGTTCCAGCCATCCCAGTGAGGAGTTCCAGCCATCCCAGCGAGGAGTTCCAGCCATCCCAGCGAAGGGTTCCAGCCATCCCAGCGAGGGGTTCCAACCATCCAAGTGAGGGGTTCCAGCCATCCTGAAGAGGGGTTCCAACCATCCCATCGAGGAGTTCCAGCCATCCCAGCAAGGGTGTCCAGCCATCCCAGCGAAGGGTTCCAGCCATCCCAGCGAAGGGTTCCAGCCATCCCAGCGAGGGGTTCCAGCCATCCCAGCGAGGGGTTCCAGCCATCCTGAAGAGGGGTTCCAACCATCCCATCGAGGAGTTCCAGCCATCCCAGCAACGGTGTCCAGCCATCCCAGCGAGGGGTTCCAACCCTCCAAGTGAGGGGTTCCAGCCATCCCAGCGAGGCACTACAGCCATTCCCACACACCACAGCAGCAGCCCAGCACCTGGAGCAGGAGGAGATGTGTCTCCACCCCGACCCGTGACGCTCCCCGGCAGAGCCGAGCGCTGGGGACGTTCGCGGTGCCGGTTCCCGCTCCCGGGATTCATCCCGCGCCGGGAGATGAAGGTGAGAGATGAAAGGCTGGAGGATTTCACTACACTCAGTTTTCAGTCTGTCACTTCCCATCTCCTCCATCAGGTGCCGTGGGATCAATTATCGCTCGGCAGGTCGGGATGGAGCTGTGATATCCAGGTGCTGCTGCCGGAGACTGTGGGAATGTGACGGCGGCAGAGCCGGGCCCAGCAAGGGGCTGCAGAGCTGCCAGGACACAGGGGTGGGATTGGTGGGTGAAACCTTCCAGAAGAGCCTGGAATCAACCCTAAATGTACACTTTATATGTTGCCTATTCAGAATTTTATATAGTGTCTATTAGGAATTTTATATATAATATATAAACTTTTCAACCGCTGATGTGGAAGAGGAGGGGTAAAAGCATCACTAATTGCACTCACAGGTAATTAATAACCACATAAGCAGTGCCAGGGATGAAAACACAACGGATCTACAGATGGATAAAACCCAGAGGGAAGTAAAGGGGGTGTAATGGGGGCACCCCCAGGCTGGGGGGCCCAACTTGCTCCTGCAGCCTTGGGGAGACCAAAGAGGGCAGGAGGGCTGGTACCAGTGCCAGGACACAAAACCCCACCAGTTTGGAGTGCCCAAGGCAGAGGCTGGCACAGACAAGGAGCCAGGACTGGCTCTGGAGCACCAGCTGCTCCAGCTCTGGGAGGAAAGGGAAGGAGAGGAGGAAAAGGGAAGCAGCTCTTCCTCCACAGCACCACGGACACTGAGGACTGGGAATCCCACCCCACCGGGGGTCTGGCAGCAGGACCAGGCACCCACAAACCCTGGGTGTGCCCTACAGGCGCAGATGATTCCAAATGCCAATCCCATTCCACAGGAACAGAGATGGACCTGCACAGACCAGAGACTTGGCTGCGATCCAGCAACATCACGGTGCTGGGATGTGACATCAGGGAGCTGGGATGTGACATTGGGGTGCTGGGATGTGACATTGGGGTGCTGGGATGTGACATCAGGGCGCTGGGATGTGACATTGGGGTGCTGGGATGTGACACCGTGGTGCTGGGGATCCGCAGCAGGGCCCTGGCCTCAGCAGGGCAGATGCCACGGTCGGGGTGCCCCAGCAGCTCCCAGCAGCAGGAGAAGCCCCTTTCCCCGTGCCGGGGCTGCGGTGCCAGTGCCGAGCTCGGAGGGTTTTTGCTGGGAGGGTTTTTGCTGGGAGGGTTTTTGTTCGGGGGGTTTTTGTTCGGGGGGTTTTTGCCGGGAGGGTTTTTGTTCGGGGGGTTTTTGCTGGGAGGGTTTTTGCCAGGAGGGTTTTTGCCGGGAGGGTTTTGCCGGGAGGGTTTTGCCGCGGCTGCACCGGCAGCACGGCGGGGGGCAGCTCCTCTCCGCAGTCTCCTTGGAGACCGCGACCGCTCCGCAAAGAGATCCCGCTCCTCCCAGCAGTGCCGGGGGGAGCAGGGCCCCCCAGGACCACCCCACGCGGCCCCCCGTGCCCACGTGCCGCCTGGCTCGTGGCAGCTCCGTCCCCACGGTACTGGCGCCAGAGGAACAGCAGGAAGGGGCTCATCTGGGAAGTTATTACTGATTCGGCGTGGACAAAACAAGGTGGCATCCTTGGAGGGAGGAATTTCCAAATCCCTGTTCCCACAGCACGCCGGGGTCACCCCGGGAGCTGCGGCCACGGTGCCGTCACCCTCCGGCAGGGCCGGGCCAGCCCCGAGCCGGCGGTGCCATCGGGGACGGGAAACAGCCCCGGAAAAGGCGGGTTTGGCACAATCCTGGCACAAGTCCCCCTGTGCACGTGGGCGGGAGCCTCCTCGGCATCTCCAGAGGTGCTGGAGAAGGAGGAGGGTTGTGCCAGGAACAAGGCGGGTGCTCGGCCGGGTCCCACAGCCCTGAGCGCATCAACCACTGGGGGGAAGGAATAACAGAGGGAAGGCGGCAGCACGGAGAGAAATCCTGCCCTGAGAGACCCCGGATGGACCCAGATCAGCTGTCACCAGGCAGTGCCCGGTTCCTGTGCCCACACCACTGCCCACAGCCCTGCCCACAGGTACTGGTGGCTCCAGAAAGGCACACAGACATCACAGCCACATCCCAGCTCCTGGCGTGGCACAGGAGCTCTGAGCAGGGTCAAGGGGACTCAGCGTGTGACACAGGGATCAAACCCTCGTCCCAGCTCCTGCCACAGCCCCAGAGCTCTGAGCGGGTTCAGGGGACTCAGCGTGTGACACAGGGATCAAACCCTCGTCCCAGCTCCTG